ACTGGTGAGACTCATGGGCTCCTTCATTGCTGGCTGTATGAGTGTTACATTTACATAAGTAACATAATGCTCAATCTTCAAATAATTCTTTCAAAGGTAATTCTTTATTATATTATTACAACTTATTTTCAGAATATGACGACTTGTGATGTTACAAACAGGAACACTGGGCAGATGAAACTGTCTAAACACATTCAACCATCTGACTCATGTCTAGCAGCTTCACAATGAAGATGGGCAGAGTGTTTCTCGTCACCATGATTGTGGTTCTTGCTACTGTCGGTGAGCTATGTTGTTACCTTTGCATATTTTGTGGTTAGTTGGAGACAAATATCTGCTAAATACTATCCTACATCCTTTAGAAGCATAGACTAGCGACCATGAACTGTACAGAGTAGAACTGAGAGATTATGCTAGACCTTGTAAGTGCTTCCTGATGGAAAGGACAGTGGGAGTAAATAGCAACACATCCATTGAGATTTCATCCCTGGTGTCCTGTACCACACATCATCAGGAATTGTGAAAAATATGCCTCAGACACACCTATTCAGCACACAGGACAATTCAGATGTAATACTCAATTCCAAAATAGCACGGAAAACCACTAGATTATCAATGAACAATATTTTATTTTTCCAATTCACAACGTGTTATCCTAAAGGAGTCCTGGATCTGAGCAGTGATACTTAGAATTTTATTTCAGAGAACTAAATTAGGGCATGTTGAACCCTTATCTAATAGCCAAAATACTAAAGCGTTGTAGTTTGAGGTACCAATATCATTTTTAAAACTTTTTCAAATCTTTAGTTACTTGATGATTTATTGAATTGCTTTGCTAATTAGAATACCTACAATAATTGGTGTCTCCAAATGCTCAGTAAATGTGCAATATGTGGTTGATGTAGGTTTGTGTCCTTTTAATACGTTCTCTGTTTCCTGTTTCAGATCTGGCCAAAATTCAACTTGCTGATAAGAATGACGTGAGAGTCTAATTTTAACACTTTTTGTTGATGTTAAATTCTCCTTGTTGTTTTAAAGTGGGCAATGCTCAGACCAATATTGATGGTTATAGATTAGTAGGTCTCCAATTCCTCGTCGTTGGATCACTGGTCCTGAAGGGGAAAAATCTATGAGGGGATCTAATTTTAGATTAGCAGTGATTCACGCCAGGAAGGACAGGACTGGGTTTTGCTGTGATGCATCTGTGCTCAAATTGACCCAAAACACATATTGATTTATATTTAATTGACAAATCCGACTGAAAGGTTGTAAAACACAACACCAGGATCAAACAGAAGGTAAGATACACCAAGTGGTAATCAGTAGGCCAAGGCTCTCTGAGTTGTCACATATGTTTGGAAGGAAATAGTAAAGGAGAAGGGACAGAATGTTCATCACAATGGCTGGGGGATGGTGAGCACGATAGTGTGACATCAACCTAATTGGCTGTTGTGTTGGTTTGCTGTCATTGTTTTGACCATTGGGAATCTTGTGGGTAGAATGCAGAGGCCAGTAACTGGCCTGATTTTTTTCTTTTTTGTATCCCATCACCAAGTCACCCTTTATTCACATGTGCGCAGTACACTGACTGTGGCCAACCAGCTCAGAGTCAGTCCCTGAACTGAGAAGATTATGAATCCCCTGTTTATGTATTTTTCTATTATCTCCCCACAACACCTGTGTTCTGTGTATACGTGCTGTGACTCAGTGAAGACACAATTATGCAACAAATTTCTATTCACCACTAGGAAAACACCCGTGTGGCCAGTGAATCAGTAACAAGCAAAGCCTGGCAATGGGCCTGATTCAAATTACTAAACAATTGAGCTTGTTAACAAACCAATGATCAGTTCAACGGCCAGTTGGAATTTTATTTGGGCCAAAGGGTCCGACAAATGATTGATCATGAGCAGATGCAAGTGAAAACAGGAGGTGACACAACGGATGCAGTTGTGATCATGTCATTCAATTCAGCAGACCCATAAAAGGGTACATGGCCAAGAGCGTATTCATACATTGATGCCATTGGGTGGGCAGAGTTATTGGGGTTAACGGTTCCATTCACACTTGGCCACTGGAGAGGTCATGACTCAGCAGAGATCATAGGATCAGTCAAAGTGAGTCCACTCAGCAAAGATGAATACAAACACATTAATTCACATCATTTGGATGTGAAATTAAGGTACTCGGAGGCTGGGTTAAGTACTGACTTATCAGGGAAAATGGAGAGATTCGGCTTCAACCAGGGTCTCAGCAGCTGATTGGGCTGTGTGTGTCATCAGAATTGAATCATACCAACATGTCAGAAGTTGCACTATGTAACTGAATTTTACATCCACACATTTAAAATACCTATGTGTTAATTTTACCATTTCAGCCACATTGTGAAGACTATCCTAATGCCCCTATCTGTACTAGAGAGTATATTCCAGTTTGTGATATCGATGGAAATACATTTCCAAATCGATGTGTGCTGTGTGGTGAAATAAGGTCAGTGCCTTTGCTTTCGATCTCACAATAGAGAATGAAATGAAAAGTCTGTGACCATCAAATTAGAGGGTATGTATTCTGAACATTTCTGACTTGAGCCATGCTGGCTGTCTGAAAATCTGCAGGAACAATTTGCCTTATAAAATAAGTAGTCAATTTACTCAACAACAGACAATAGAACCCTATCTACAAGGATGGTGCTTTTTCTCGTCACAACTCACTGCAATAGTGCACTGGAAATCAAGTCCTACTATGTCCACTGTTGTCACAAATGTGAGAACTTGATTAAAGCACCCAATTGTCTAATTATACCTCGCTGTCTAATTCATGCTAAAAGAACATATACAGCAGGTTTTTACTATTAACAAGAAAAAATGATTTTCTGCATTATCAAACTGCTTTTAGTGTAGTTAAAAAAAAACCCAAGAATTGCGGGAAGGAAGAGAAGCTTGGAGTAGCTTTGTTAATAAGTTGAGTAATAAGTTTGATAGCATGAAATGAGATTGGATCTAATGATGTAGACTCCTTAATGACGGAGGTTAAGAAACAACAAAGGGAAAAAGACACTGGTGAGAGAAGGCCCTCTAACATCAGTAGACACATAGAAACACAGAACGTAGAAGATAGGAGTAGGAATAGACCATCCAGCCCTCCAAGCCTGCTCCATCATTCAATATGATCATGGATGATCTTCCAACCCAGTACCCTGTTCCTACTTTCTTCCCATGCCCCTTTTGATCCCTTTAGCCCTAAGAACTATACCTAATTCCTTCTTGAATACATTCAATATTTTGGCCTCAACCACTTCCTGTGGCAGAGAATTCCACAGGATAACCACTCTCTGGTGAAGACATTTCTCCTTATTTTAGTCCTAAATGGCCTAACCAATAAATTAAACTGTGCCCCCTAGTTCTGGACCCCCGGTCATCAGGAACATCTTTCCTGTGTGATTATCCTGTTAGAATTTTATAAGTTTCTGTAAGATTCTCCCTAATCCTTCTAAACTCAAGTGAATCCTAACTGATCCAGTCTGTCTTCAAACGTCAGTCCTGTCATGCAAGGAATCAGTCTGGTAAACCTTTGTTGCACTCCCTCCATCACCAGAACATTCTTCCTCAGATAAGGAAACCAAAACTGCACACAATGCTTCAGGTGTGGTCTCACCAAGAATACGTAATTCCCCGCTCCTGTGCTCAAATCCTCTCACTATGAAGGCCAACAATACACTTGCCTTCTTCACTGCCTTCTGCACCTGCATGCTTACTTCCAGCAACTGGTGTAAAAGGTCACCCAGGTCTCATTGCATCTCCTCCTTTCCCAATCTATTACCAATCAGATAATACACTGCCTTCCTGTGGGACAGAGAATAAATCAGGAGATACTTAAGGCATCTGAAAAAGCACAGTACAGGAATTAATGGTGAATTTAATTTTCATATAGATTTGGAAAAACCAAATGGTAGCCATGAGAAGAATTCATGCATTTGGGATAGTTTCCTAGAACAATATGTTGTGGATCCTACAGGGATCAGGCTATTTTAGATCTGGTAATGTACAATGAGACAGGTTTAATAATGATCTCAGTGTAAAAGGTTCCTTAAAGGAGCAGTGACCATAACATGGTGGAAATTTGTACTCAGTTTGAGAGTGAGAAACTTGAGTCAGAAACAACTGTGCTGAACTTAAATAATAATCATATAGAGGTGAGGACAGAATTGCTGGAGTTGACTGGGCAAAGAACTTAGGAGAAAAGGCAATTGAGGGAAATCGGCAGATATTGAAGGGGAGGGGTAAATTAGTTTAGTTGGCTGGATGTCTGGTTTGTAAGGCAGAGTAACGCCAACGGTGTGGGTGCAATTCCTATACCAGCTAGGGTTACCATGAAGGATTCTCCTTCTCACCCTCTCCCCTCACCTGAATCATGGTGACCCTCACATTAAACTACTATCAGTTGACTCTCTCTAATGAGAGAGCAGTCCAATGGTACAGTGGGACTACGGTGACTTAATTTAAGAAAATAGTTCATGATTCATAGAAAAGATATATCCCAGTGAGGAAGAAAGATTTGAAGGAGATAAACCAACCACAGTTAACCAAGGAAGTTGAGGATAGTATCAAATTGAAAGAAACAAAAACATAAAATGTGACAAAAATAAGTGGTAAACATTCAGAAAATTTTAAAAGTCAAGAGAACATGACCAAAAAAAGGGGGAAAATAAAATGAGGGTAAACTAGCGAGTAAAATAGAAATGGACAGTAAGAGCCTCTTTAAATATATAAAGAGAGGCCAAAGTAAATATAGGCTCCTTAGAAAATGAGGCTAGGAACATAATAATAGATCAGGTACACTGGCTCTCCTTTGTCTAACTTGCTCATTACCTCATCAAAGACTATAACAGATGTGTCAGGCATGACCCCCCTTGATGAAGCCCAACTGACTCAGTCCTTTTTAAGCATGCACTTCCAAATACTCCACAATTTCATCCTTAAATATTGACCCTAAAATCTTACCAATGACCGAGGTCAGGATAACCAGCTTGTGGCTCCTCATCTTCTGCCTCCCTCTCTTCTTCAACATGAGTGATACATTAGTTTTTGTCCCCTTATCTAAAGAAAGATATACTGACATTAGAGGCAGTCTACAGAAGTTTCACTAAGTTGATTGTGAGTATTGAGGATTTTCTTATGAGGAGAGGTTGAGTAATTGTGCTTACACTAATTGGAGTTTAGTAAAATATAGGAGACCTTACTGAAACTTATAAGATTCTTATGGGACTTAACAGGACAGAAGCGGAAAGGATACTTCCTCTTGTGGAAGAGTCTAGGACCATGGAGTCATACAATCATACAGCATTGAAACAGACCCTTTGGTCCAACTAGTCCATGTTCCTAAACTAAACTAATCTCACCTGCCTGCGTTTGGCCCATATCCCTCCAAACCTTCCCTATTCATGGGGACTTATAAAAATGTCTTCTAAATGTCATAACTATACCTGCATCTACCACTTCCTCTAGCAGTTCATTCCACACACAAACCACTCTCTGTGCAAAAATGTTGCCCCTTATGTCCTTTTTAAACCTTCACCTCTCACCTTAAAAATATGCCCCGAGGAAAAAGACCCTTGCTATTCATCCTGTCTATATCTCTAATGATTTTATAAATCTCTATAAGGTTACCTCTCAACCTCCTATGCTCCAGTGGAAAAATCCCAGCCTCTCCAGCCTATTTTTATAACACAAACCTTCCATTCCTGGCAACATCCTGGTAAATCTTCTCTGAACTCTCTCCAATTTAACAATATCCTTCCTACAGCAGGGCAACCAGAGCTACACTCGGTACTCCAGAAGAGGCCTCATTAATGTCCTGTACAATCTCAACATGAAGTTCCAAATCCTATACTCAAAGGTCTGAGCAATGAAGGCAAGCTTGCTAAATGCCTTCTTCACCACCCTGTCTTCCTGTGACACAAATTTCAAAGAATTATATACCTGAACCCCTAGGTCTCTCTGTTCTACAACATTACCCAGGGTCCTACTGTTAATTATAAGCCCTGCCCTTGTTTGTTTTACCAAAATGCAATATCTTGTATTATGCAAATTAAACTCCACCTGCCACTCCTCAGCCCATTGACCCAATTGATTAAGATCTCTTTGTAATCTTAGATAACCTTCTCCATTGTCCACTATGCCACCAACGTTGATCTAAAGACAGTGATAAAGAGCAATTTCTTCTCTCACAGGGTATTGAACCTGTGGAAATTTTATTACCACAGAGACTGAGACAGACAGGTTTTTAATCAGGAAGGGAATCAGGGGTTATGGAAAAAGCAGGAAAATGGAGTTGAGGATTATTAGATCAGCCATGATCGCTTTGAATGGCGGTGCAGATTTAAAGGCCCACACGACCTACTCGTGCTCCAGTGTCTTATGATCTGAGTGTGGATCCCAATTATGATTTCTGTTTTCTTTTCAGATTGAGTGGCAATAAGATCTTAATTAAACACTTTGGAGAATGTTAATTCCACAAGCACGATAATGTTCCGACCTGTCTTTCCAAAAATGCAATAAAGAACTTTTTTGACTGAAGCAAACTTTAAAAAAATGTATATTTAAATGAATAGAATTTTAAATAAAATAATATCATGTTTGAAAGCATTATCTTAGCTTTATCTTTATAATGCAGGTTTAGACATCACAAGGTAACATCTCGTTAATTCACTCGAGAATTAATATCTTGTTAACCCACTCAAGAACAAATATCTCATTAATTCACTTGAGAATCTATATCTTACTATCTCACTCGAGAATTAATATCTCATCAACTCACTCAAATTAATACCTTGTAAACTTACCCAAGAATTAATATCTTGTGAACTCACTCAAGAATTAATACCTTTCTAACTCATTTGAGAAGTAATACCATACTAACTGAATGTTTCATTAATACCTCATTAATACGTCTAAATTAACACCTTGTAAACTCAGTCCCAAATACCTTGTAAACTCACTGCTGCACTAATATCTATTAACTCTCTCCAGAAGAAATGTCTTGCAAACTCATAAAGTTAGCTCAGTTGGCTGGATGACTGATTGGTAATGCAGAGTTACAGCATTAGTGTGGGTTCAATTCTGGCACCGACTGAGATTATCATGAAGGGCTCTCCTTCTCAACCTCTCCACTTGTCTGAGGCATGGTGACCCTCACCTTAAACCAAGACCTGCATTTCTCTCTAATGAGAGAGTAGTTCTCTGGTGACTTTTAAGACTTCATAAACTCATCACATATCATATAAATTGATCAATACTTCAAACTCACTCCAAGACTAACAGCCTGGAACCTGACTTCCAGACTAATAGCTCATAAAATTACTCCAAAGATTAATACCTTGTAAATTCACTTCAGGATTAACATCTCATAGACTCGGTAATCAGAGTGTTACTCGCATATTGATTTTCTACATGAACAATTAGCTTTGGACGGCAGAGTTTATGTTGTTCCCATTAGTGACTATCTAAAGTCCTTCTCAGCAACAGAAAGAGGTGGGAGATGATTCAACAGAGAAGGTGGAATAAATCAATGTTTAAATAATCACAAGCTGGACTGGTGACTGAACTGTTATTGAGTGTTAATGTCCAGTTGTATTCATAAGTTTTAAAAAATAACATCACACACAAGAATCAACTTGGTATTCTGGATAATGGATTTCTGAATCACCATTGAGAAACTGGAGGTCAGAGCCTAGACATATGCTGATCAATGAACTTGGAATCTGTGATTCAGTTATTCTAACGCCAATTTTCCTCACACTGGGGAAACTTCTCAAGTGGCCGGAGTCATACCTGGCAAAAAGAGAGATGGTTGTGTTGGTGGAGATCAGTCATCTCAGCTCCAGGACATCTCTGCTGGAGTTCCTCAGGGTTGTGTCCTAGGATTAACTATCTTCATCTGCTTCATTGATGACCTTAGCTCCATCATAAGGTCAGAAGTGGGATGTTTGCCAATGACAGCACAATGTTCAGCAATATTTGTGACTCCTCCAATACTGAAGCAGTCCACATTCAAATGTAACAAGATCTGGTTACCATCCAAGTTTGGGCTGACAAGTGACGATCGTGCCACACAAGTGTTAGGCAATGGCTATTTCCAACAGGAGTGAATCTAACCTTAGCTCCTTGACATTTAATGGTTTACCATCACCACTACCAACATCTTGGGGTTACCAATGATCAGAAACTGATCTGGACTAGCCATGTAAGTAGTGTGGCTACAAGAACAGTCAGAGCTTAGGAATCCTACACACAGTAATTCACCTCCCGACTCTGCAAAGGCTGTCCACTATCTACAATATACAATATAGTGTGATAGAATACTCCTCATTTACCTGAATGAATATAGCTCTAAGAACGCTCAAGAACTTTGACACCATCCAGGACAAAGCAGACTAATTGAGGCACCTCACTTTTAAACATGCACTCTCTCTTCCACAGATGTTTGGCAGTAGCTATTTGTACCATCTACAAGATGCACTGCAGAATTTCATCCTAGACATCTTAGATAGCACCTTCCAAACCCATGACCACTGCCATCTAGAAGGACAAGGACAGCAGTAATGTGGGAACACCACCCCCCGCAGTTTTCCTCCAAGCCAAAGCTGATTTGGAAATATAACACTGTTCCATCAGTGTCCTCTGGTCAAAATACTGGAACTCACTTTCCAGCAGCATTGTGAGCGTACCTACACCAAATGAACTGCAGCGATTCAAGAAAGTAGCTAATCACCACCATCTCACATGCAACTAGGAATGAACAATATAAATGGTGCTCCAACCAGTAAAGCCCACATTCTATGAATGAATAAAAAAGAACGATGGAAGTTCCAGTACTTTGGCTTTAGAACATGGCAACAGTGTGAGGCCAATAAAGACAGCAAGAACTGCAGATACTGGAGTCAGAGTCAATACAGTGTCGAGCTGGAGGAACACAGCAGGTCAGGCAGCATCAGAGGTGCAGGAGAATCAATGTTTCAGGTCGGGATCCTGAAACATTGATTCTCCTGCTTCTGTGATGCTGCCTGACCTGCTGTGTTCCTCCAGTTCCACACTTATTGACTGAGGCCAATGAAATTGTTTGAGGTCACAGTGAACAGGAGACTCTGTGCATGTGGCTAATTCTTCAGCAATACTGAAGTAGGAAAATGATGTTTCACTATGCATGTGAACCCAGAAAATTCTTTAGCTTTATTTGGTGTCTGAGATGTTATATCAGAAACAATTAACATTGAATTTCCTCTTATGTTTTCTTTTTATCCATAACTTCAGATATATTCTCTACAGTCCTGACTGTAAATCTTCCACTGTAAGCAGTAATCTGTGATTTTTTGCAGTTCTTGGATGGATCCTTTGAAGTGAATTTGAATTGGTGCAACTTCAACATTGGTAGCCTGTCATTGTCAGACTTTCTCTTCAACAGAAGACATCATGAAAGAGATAAAACTACCCAGTGTTCAGTCAAGCAGAAGTGGTATATCATATCAATAAGTACCTTTTCATCCTGATGTGACAGCCCACTTGTCCTCTCTACTGTAAACTTTGGGATGCTGTTCATAATTCCAGTCTTTATGTTTCAGCTGCTGAAATTGTTCTGTCTAGCCTTCAAGCCATCACCCTCTTACACCACTCTAAATGGCCAGTTCACAAAGATGTTGAAGCTGAAAATACATTCAGTTGAAGGGAAATACTTTTAGTCAAATGTTTTAGTCAATAATGCTAAGAAAATACTTCTAGTTAATAATATTGGAAACTGACAAAATACTTGGGGAGATATGTAGAGTGAACACTTAATTATGTAGATTATCCTCTGAGGTAAGCTGTGATATGACTGCAACCTCAGTAGTCACGTGACATGATTTTGCCAAGAGGTTGGAGCCTGTACAGCATAGAGCATGATGCTTTTTAGCATCATGTCATGTACAATTTGTTAATAAATATAGTTCGAAAGCAACCTAGAAGTCTGGCCTGAGATAGTATGAGGAACCAAAGTGCCCATAACAGAACATTATCTTGCTCCAAGATGGCCCAGAAAAGCTCTGTAAAAATACATCAGGCACTGCAGTTATGCTGAAGGAGAAGTTGTCCTCATTCAGTTTGTGGCCAGTTAGATATTATTCAGGGTTCAAGTACACACAGTAATTTCTCAGCGAAACAAAGTACAGTGTGTCCTGTGAGAGTAGTGTTAATAATGATTTTTTTAAAATTCCCTCATGAGATGTGGGCGTTGCTGGCAGGTCAGCATTTATTGCCCGTCCCTAGTTGCTTTTGAGAAAATGGTCATAAACTACCTTCTTGATCCGCTGCAGTCTATGTGCTGTAAGTCGATCCACACACTGTTTAAGATATTAAGTATTTTCTGTTTGCCAAAGTCCAAGAGCCTGAACCTGTGATGTTTTGGATAGATTGTTTCCTGGGCTGGCACTCTCTTTCCTCTCTAGCTCAAACATTAGTTATCCTTCTGACCTTTCTCCCCCAGTCTCCTCTCCTCCACTGATTATGCACCCTTGCCTCTAGCACTGGGTGCATTTAAGCTCAAACAACAAGCTGTGAGTTGCAAATTGAACGTCACCTGTGGACTGCAGTGCTTCAGGAAGACAGCTCACTATCATCTTCGCAACGGCAACCAGGGACAGGCAATTAAATGCTTGCCAGCCCCCGATGTCCATGTTCTACGTGTGAATAAAAATTTTAAAAAGCTCACTCTACATCATCCCCACGCTTGGCTTTCACCGAGTTTGTTTCAACGTCTGGAAATTTGTTGAAATGTGATTTCCCAGACCATGAGGAATACGCTGCTGCACAGGACTCTGCATTAGACTTGGGTGCTGAGACTGGTTTAACATTTCCCTAACCTTCAGCTTGGCTGCCTATCTGCTGACTGGACTTCATGCATGACTGGTCTCTCAGCTTTGTTTTACTGCTGCACTATAGGATCAGTATTCTCGGCTCTAGCCTTCTACCTGTTCTTTTGTTTGCTGTTCCCTTGTTGGGAACCATTCACTTAATCTGAGTCAGCTGTAGCTCTCTCTCCTGGGTTCCCATTCAGATCACCTATTTCTAGATGGCCTCTGTTTTGCCACTTTCTATCTGCTTTCCAATGTGGCTGACACGATTCGTCCTTCCATTGGTATATAAGGATGCAAAGGTTGATTTTATTATTGCCTGGGGTTCCACAGCACTTTTTCCCCAACAAAGGTAATATACTACAGATGCTGGAAATCTGAAATAAAAACACAAGATGCTGTTAAAATTTAAGCAGTCAACACTTCCAATCTTTGTCAAAAACTGTTTAAACCTGTTAATGTCTGCATTTAAATGGTCTGGATAGCGATTCAAAACAAACACAGAACATACTGGAGAAACTCAGTAGGTCTGGCAGCATCTGTGGAGAGAGAAAGAGAGTTAACATTTCATGTTTGATATGACTTTTCTCTAGAACAACAAAGACCAGACAGGTCTCAAAGCATCGACTCGATTTCTCTCTTCACAGATGTTGCCAGACCTACTGAGCTTCTCCAGGACTTTCGGTGTTTATTTCAGATTTTCAGCATCCACAATATTTTGATTTTACTTATACCTATAGTAAATGCTGGATCACTTCACTAAAGCCCAGGGAACAAAGACATGGTCCTCCATACATTGGCCAACAGATGTGCAGCTTGGCAGAAACTTAAAGGGAACTGCTTTTCTTCATTTAGCTACAGTCATAAGGTGGTCATAGATTGATAGATATTCCCGATCTCTTTCAGGTTTGATCAGTAACATCCAGCACTGTGGAAATCATTCAACACACTATCATGGGAAATAAAGTAACTGAAGTGAAGCCATTTATGAGGAAAACATTTTTATTCAAATCTCGATGTCATTGATAAATTGGAAATAAAGTGAAAATGCAAAACAATTGTAAAGAAAGGGTTAATTATTTGGTTCTGAAGCTTGCTGAATTATCACTGATGTATTGATTTCTCTCCGTATATAGAATCTTTAGCTTTTGCCTGTTAAGCAAAGGTTTGTAAATTTAAAATTTCACACTAGGACTGACTTTAGAGGAATGGCCATTGTAGCCATTTTAGTAAACTGAACGAAGTGACATTCAAGTGCACAGTGACACAAATATTTCAGACAACTTTAATCAGTTGATAAGAAGTGCTATAAATTTAATAACTTAAAGGGAAATCTCCAGATTGACTGGTGAAAAATGGCACTGAATAAAATATTGATTTATCAAGAGATTTTATTTAGTGGGCTAGCAATTACATGTAACGAGTGAAATTATTCAAGAATAACCCAGTAAAATTAAAGTTATTGATAAGGAACAAACTCAATCAAGTTTGATTGTTACACAGTTGAGTGCGCACTGTCACATTAAAAGTGTAAGAGAAATGTATCAAAACTGGGGGTGGAGCTTTCTCATCCCTGAAAGTGGCAAAGGAGGTAAGAAGGGGAATAATTGGGCCCGGAAAGAAACTCGGTCCCTTCTTGCCTCCTTATTAAATTAAATGCTGGGCAATAGGATAATGAAGCAGTCCACATCAAAATGCAGCAACATCTGGACAATATCCAAGCTTGGGCCGGAAAGTGGTAAGTAGACCCCTCCAGGTCCAGGAAGATCAGATGTAACCTGGTGCGGCATCTTCTCCCCAGCAAGAGGTATCCTGTGATGAGGGGTGGTCCTATAAACAAACAGGAACTAGGGGAGATTGGTATCTAGTGAAGCTGTAGGCTGTTTCTTTAAGCCTGACTTCAAAGTTTGGACTGCTCTTTCTGCCAGACCTTTGAGTGATGGATGATATGGACATCCTTATATGACAACTGTCATTCGACTTTAGGAAGTACTCAAATTCCCTGCTGCTAAACAGTGGCCTGTTATCTGTGACCAACACTTCCGGGAG